GGGGGGGGCGAGTTAAAGCGCGAACACTTGTAGAGTGGAAATCACGAATAAGTCGGGGCAAACATTTCTTGAGAAATGGAAATTTCGGTGGAAATCTCAAGGCAACGATTCTTTTAATGGAAATTACACGAGTTATGGAGATTTATGGAAATATCATCGAGCCGTGCGGCGTTTTCACACGCGGTCGACAACTAGTTTCCCGATGGTACCCCGACAAGATACGCACACACGTCGACGCACCACGGGACTACGCTTGGATCGTCACGCTTGCGATAGTAAAAAAAAAATGAATACATAATTGACAATTAGTTAAGGACGAATAATTTTCCCCGCGCGAGGACGAATTTCGTGAAATATCGTCGCATATTTCCGAGATCGCATGCGATATTATGTCGGAGCCATTCGCGCGTCGACGCGAGGATTTGCCGTTTCCAACGTTTCCAATATGGCGAACGGGAAATCTGACGCGCGGATAGACGCGCATCGTTAACAGTAGATCAATTATGACGATATTGTACGCCGCCAATGTATCTCCCCGGGAGATTATTACCGAGATAGTTTTTCGCGTGTCTGTTCGCTCCGCGGTGAATAGGTTGAATGCATCGATAACGGCTAGTCATGACATCGCGGAAATGTGCAGTCTATTTACTGTATGTCTCTCTCCTTTCGCGATGAGAATATCAATTGTGGCTAAATAGAGAGATTAAAGGCGAACGCGCGCGCTCTCGCGTCGCACTTACTACGCATTTACAGTAATAAACATTCGGGAAACGGGAAGTCGATCGGATTTCCTGCCGATTCACCGCAAGTTCTTATAACGGTGCGAATCATACTGCTATCCTTTGGACGATGCCTTCTTCTAGAAAACCTCCGTTAATACAAATCATTGAAAAAAACTTGACATTGCCTGCAATGTTAGTACAAACGAACTTGTATCCCCTCCTCCCTCTCCCTCGAAATCATACAACTTTTGTCTGAACAATTTTTGACTTCCATGACAGAAGAGATATTAAAATGCGTTATTTGAAATGGGACACCCTGTATGTAGAAGTCGGTCGAATTCGGTTGTTACTTCACTTTCCGAATGGAATTTCCCCTAAAAAAAATGTTGAGAATATGGAGTACGCAATTTTTCCTCTCGTCGAGGTCATTTGACAAAAGGAACCTTAAAATATTCAACGTGCAGCGTACAAGAACTTTGTCCCGTTAATAAAGTTGACCGACGGTGATACAACATTGATACACCTTAGCAAATATTTAACACGTTCACGTGGACGAAGAAAGTTAGGTCTGCTGGGGCAGATGTTTCAAAGTTCAAGAAAGGAAAAGAAAAACGAGCACCTCACATTATACAGGGTAGCCGGTAATTTTCTCCGATTCAAGGTAGTACAGATTAATTAATTCCTCGTTAACTGATTACGAATTTTGCAAAACATGACTTTTCTGCTCAGTCCCACTGCGTTTTATCTGCACACCACGGGATCCTGAAATTTATCGGACATCTTATACTTTCGCGTGTGATCGTGCAGTTTTACGTGTTTCGCTGCTTATAGGCAATTACGTCCCATTATTAGCCGACGATTAGTAATATTAATCTCGGAGTTTTACCGTTAAATTCTAAAATGTCGCATGGCCGAGGAATTTGGAAAGATACCGACAATGCGCGCAATATAGGTGGTCCGAAAAGCCCGGAATGCGGAACATGTACCGCCATTTATTTTATTTTCCCAATGATAGACACCGGAAATTTACTGCGGAATTCGGTAGGAAACAGACTTGGGCGGGCGCGAGACGATGTTCGTACTGTTTTGCGTGCATAGTTTTGCGGTCCGTCACGCGAGTCAACCACCCGCCGCGATTCCGCAAGGGAAAGGAAAAGTTCGCGACGACGCGCTATGAGCTCCCGTCGTGCTCGTCACGTTGTAACGGCCGCCAACAATATTCGACACACACACATACAATGGTAGACGGAAAAAGTTGTTCCCTTCTTTTTCCTTTTTTTTACGAGTCCCACAACGTACTCCGCATCCAACGTGAGAATTTATTATTAGCTATTTTCAGGAGACACATTCACCTGTTGGATATGAGATACGTTGCTCATAAAAAAACAAGGTGTGACAACCCTCTTTCTATCCACCACTGTACGTCCAGCCGTAGAATCGAAGATTTCATTCGGCGATCGGCGTAAAGCCGAGCAGACGAGTGGCGGCGATGACGAGTGATCTCTCGGGAGGGGGGAGGGGACATTACGTCACGTTCACACGATCTATCGGACGCGCTAAGGGGAACACGAATCTCCGTTGGCGGCCGCACCTCTCTGTTTTGTACAACTAAAAGTGACACGTTCGGCGGCAGGGTGCTTCGTTATTAAAGCAGAACTGCTGAGCGACGTCAGCAGCAGCGAGGCCAAGAGTGAGAAGTCGACGACACGCATACTTCTGTCGCGCATCATTAGCTGCCTCGCGCTCTTTGTCCCCGTAATTGACGCGCCGGAACGCGTCCTGTGCGCCGGTCCCCTCGTGAAAAGGAAGCAGTTTCCGAGAAAGGTCGAAGCCATCGTTCGATCCGATCGAGGTCGCGGCAAACTAATGACCGACGAATCACAGGGTTTTACCGCGAACGCTGGAATTTCGAGGTGCAACGATCGAGTGTCGCGCGCGCGCGTGTGTGTGTACGCATCCGAAGTATGCCGCGCGGATATCTCGCGAGACACTGCGCGTCATTCAAAAATAGATGTTACGGGAGTGTGTGTGTGTGTGTGTGTGTGTGTGTGTGTGTGTGTGTGTGTGTGTGTGTGTGTGTGTGTGAAAGAGGAAGACAAAAAGAGAGAATACATAATTTACTTGTTATATATTTTGAAAAAATATTCACTCAAGCGCTAGACTCGAAACTCAACGCGAAATGGGTTTGAGCATATCCGACTGTAAATTTCTTATCAGTTTTATAAGAATTTTCGCTTAAGTGACTGCCGCTACGTTTTACCTTATCTCCCATCAAATAAATATTTTTCATTTTTCAGATATTTTTTTTTTCTTTCAATGTATATAGGTAATGGTTTGTATATAATAAGAAAATAAAACAAAATAAGAATAATATGTGATAGAAGAATAAAAACAATCATTACACATATGTGAGCAATTAGGTAATTGTACTTCATTAAACGATTAAATTAATATTGTTATCGTTAACTAAAAAGAAGAGAGAGCGAAGGGGGAGGGGGAAAGACACGATGAGACACAATAAACGGATATCACTGAGCCGCGTCAGATATAGGTTTCTGGCCGGCGTTGATACATTTCGCCGGCCATCCCCGCTGTCGCTCTTAATTAATTTATTTTCCCCCCGTTTCCGGGGTGTTGTTGAAAATGCGCGCGCGCGAATCTTCTCTCGGAATCGCGTCTCTTTCTCCCTTTCGCCCTCCCTCCCACCGCTATCTAACTATCCTCGCGTAGACGTTATTATTATAATAGGACTCCGATATCGATCCAGCGTGTTCCAGTATAAAACGACCGACGCGACTACAACGGAGAGACCGAGACGCGAAGAGTTGGGAAGCGACGAGAGTTAGAATGGAACGATATAGATGGGGAAAGCGTGGAAACGAAAGATGAGAAGGGACCGGAGAGAGCGGGGGTCGGAGAGGACGGGGGCGAGAGGAAAAGATAGATAGATAGATAGATAGAGAGANGGGGGGGGGGGGGAGGGGGAAAGAGAAAGCGAAAAGAGAATATATATACGGCACGAAGAGATCCCTCGGCTACCCGCGAAGGGAAGTCGCTGATGTATTCGTCATAAAAAATTTGTCTGAGACGTTCTGACGCGAATTTCCAACCCGACGCGAATTTCCGGTTTCCGTGCCGTCAAGTCCCATTCGAGTAGAAATGTAAATTTTAGCGCAACCAGAGATCGATATATATATCGCAAAAATCTTACTATCGTAAAAATCAAATTAAGATAATTATTATCATATCGCGAAATTTTGAGGCCGAAATTACTACGCTGAGAGAACAAATATGTAAAAAATAAGAATAAAGAATATTTATTTGCGTTTACTATTGACATATTTGTTTACACTAATATATACTTTTATACTGAAAAAACCTTTTTTTAAAGCGAGAAAATATATATTTCTTCTAGGTCAAAGCTTTCCGTGAAAGCAATTATCGACACTGTTTAAAAAGAACTTAGATTTGTTATTGATCACCTCCGCATAAATATTTTCCATTTTTTTGGTATATTTTCTCTTAGTGTGTGTTACATGATCTGTTCTGTAAGCCTTAGAATTTTTACGTGATACTTTTTCTTTTTTTTTATAAAATCAATACTCGCGATAATATCACACCTATTAACACTTTGTATTAATAGATGTAATATTATCACAAGTATTGATTTTATAAAAAAAAATATCACGTAAAAATTCTAAGGCTTAAAGCAGATCATGTAATGTATACCGAGAAAAAAATATATATAAAAATTAGAAAATATTTACGTGGGGATGTTAATAACGTGGCATAAGTTAAATTTAAATTAAATTAAATTCGCTTCAAATAAAAACGTAAGAAGTAACGAAGCCTGATACGTTCGATAAGGTTTTAATTGACACGTTAATTCTCTCTCTGATCTAAGCTAAAATAGCGCTAAAATCTACCCGCAAAACCGAGTCAAATTTAATTAAACAAATTCCGTAATGTTTTAATCGATATATTAACCTCTCGTCTGTTTAACTTATAATATCGAAGTACGACATACAACACGCTCCTCCTCACATCTCTCTCGAGCGACTGTATGAAATATGTAATCACCATTCCGATACGGACTTTCAGGCGCGAACGAACGAAACGAGCAAACGAACGAACCAATCAGTCAACCTGCCTCGAGCTTCGCAAAATCGTCATCGTTTATTAAGCGTTTGGTTATTCGAAAAATGAGTCGCCGGCGAACGACACGCATATGTCCTTCATCATATCCTTCCCCTACTCTAAATTTTCTCCAAAACCGTCCGATGGTCTGCCTGCCAGTTAGTCTCCGTGTCAATCTCGTCTAACTGGACACACAGGAGCAGAGATGAAGAGCGAGAAAGAACGAGAGAGAGAGAGAGAGAGAGAGATTTATTACGCGCTCTGGGAAGAATCCCTTCAAACGCGATTCTCACATTGCAAAAAAAAGAAAATAAAGAGCAAAAGGCTACGAAAAAATCATATATTAAAATCATACAATGAAAAAAAATAAAATAACAATAAACTGTAACCATATAATATTAATTACATATGGTGTGAGGTCCGTTCATAGTCCACTATCTCGATAATTCATTCTAATATAATTGTACCATTTAATCTTAAAGATATTTAAATTAGCCGAGCCACGCGAGGCAATCGGCATTTCATTCCAAATATAAGCTGACATTTCTGTGTGGTATACAGAGACGGTGAGCAAATTACGAGGCTTTTTAGTTTTTTTTTTTTTCAGATGAGACATCACGTTTATACCTTACGTCATGATATCATATGATAGTTTTGGAATTTGATTCCTAAGAATATCATGAATAAGATAATCAGCAAAATGACACCTACATTGACCCACCTTTAGCCATCCTAGTTTTTCGGGGGGGGGGGAAAAAAAAAATGTTACGTAAACATCATGCCTAATAGTGCAAATGAAACCTATTTCCTGGTCATATTCTAGTGATAACTAGGGAAATCTGACTGGATCCCTGCTTAAATTTCTATGTGAGAATCTATAATATTATTTTTCGTTAACACCATATGATTCGTGGGTCATGTCGGAAACAATCGTGACTCTACGTGCTCGCAATTTCCCAGTAAATTGGCGAAAACCATTACGCATATAAGATACAGATGCTCTTTATCACCTATTTCTTTAAATAGAAATTCCAAATTTTATTCTTATTTCGATAAAATTTTACAGTCAATTCAAATTTTTATTGTTTCCCGAATGACGGTCAATTCCTCGCTGTGTTTTTTAGCGGAATCTGCGCGTAATGTTATGAATCAAAAGTAATTTTCCCCTTATGTGTCTCTAACGATTATACGGTATTATACGCGGTAATGTATCGCCTAACAAGCAATTTCTCCCTTCTGCGTCTCTCTTTCTCTCTCTCTCTCTCTTTCTTCCTCCCTCTTCAACTCGTCGCTCTCGAACCGAATGTTTCTCGGTTAATTATCGAATGCGATGTGTGATCAATGTCGAGATAATTATTAATTTGTACTTTAATTAAAGAGATCATTTAAATTCGAAATAATTTAAAATAATTCGATCTTAATTTGCGATTCAATTACAAAAAAACGTTATCGCTAAACAATCACGCCTTGATACGTCCGAGAAGTAAAATTCGACTTTTAAATTGGCCCAGGTATGTCGGAGAGATTTCGTTGTCGAAATTTCACGGAAAGATCATTAAATCTTGCGAGATCTCGTGAATTACGACGTGCGTCTTATAAACCTTCGATCTTCCGTTGTCAGTGTTTCTGCGAATTATATCATCGAGACTTACGGAATTACGTCGAATAAGATAGGACTCTGTCGTAAAATAAACTCCGAAATGTGATAAATTATTTGTTTAATGTGACGATGTACACGGAGATTTAGATTTATTGAAACAAATCATGAATATATAAATGTTTATATATTTATGAGCAGTCAAGTATCATAAATATGTATGTACGTAGGGTGTCTGACAATTAATGACAATGTTCATATACATATAAACTGTCAAACTGAACAAACTGAGAGAAATCCCACAAAAATTATAGTAATTTCCGGTATCAACTGTGTAACTTCGGCAAATATTCACTTTTACTTATTCTTCTCCAATGAACTTGCTCTTCATATATATTACAGAATTCTCCTGAGTAACAATCAAAATACAAAGTCCATTTTACCGTTTAACGTGCGTTCTCATTCGTTAATATTGTTTAATTAGTTCCTTGATAACTAATACGCAATTTGCGCAAAATGATACGATTCCTTTTCCCGTCCACTCGCTCTACCTGCGCGCCAGCGTTTTGTTGTTAATTGTCAGACAATCTGCAAATGTTAGCATATTCTACCATTGTACTATCTATCGTGCGTGCGTATTGGTGGCTCTTAGACGACTCAGATAAGAGATAGTCCGCGCACTCTTCTTCCTTTTTGTCGTTCTTTCTTTCCGCGACGGCTCGGATGAATCGAGCACGACTGACGTAACAGCGGCGCGCACGACGCGAACACTCTCGGGGAAATTATGAAATCCCGGCCAACAAAGTGATAAATAAATAACAAGGTCGATGACCTTCCCGCCAAAGTCGTTAGTTCCCCCTTATCGCCGCAGGCGCGATTAAAAGGTGTCGTTGCATAGACAACGATAAGTCGGTAGCCTCCCGACGAAATGCAAGGAGGAGAAAGGAGGAGTAATCGGCGAACGTTGGGAACCGGGAATTGCTAACGCGTTTTTCTATCAATCTCCTCCCGTTACATGTTATTCGCTGATTAATTTAAACGCTCGGCGCTTTATGAAATAAACGCCGCATAACGGAGACGGGATTTATCGGGGTGGCAGGGAATATTGTTAATCTTACGGATCCGCGCCCATTGACACGTGCAAAGTGGGAAGGTATTTTGCTGATCACCGCGTTGCTAGGAAACAATGTATCGATCGCGCCAGTAAAGATCGTGCGATATGAATCAGTCGAGGAAGTTTAAAGGGGAATTTCGAAATATCGGTTGTACGGGGAGAAAAAGTTCGAATTAACCTGGCGACTAATAAGCGCATTTCGATCCGAGGAAAGCGAATTTCTGGTTATTGGAATCAGATTTAGCTTACAAAAACGAGAAATCCTTCTCTTCCTTTCGACGGGAACGACGCGTTCGGTTTTGTTCGTGGTCAGATAGAAAATTTGATCGAACCTTTTCGGTGTGAGAACTCGAAAATTCACGGCCGTTCGATTTCGCGATTCTATTTTTCTTTCTTAATTTATCACGATCGCAGCCGAGATGAAACGATGTCGGTGACCGCGAGAGGCCTGCGATCCGAACACGATTCGCGAGGCTTCTCGATCTTTTTTTTTTTTTTCAACCGCCGACATTAACGTATGCGTCAGTACGCTTCGCTTCGCGGTGTTCTCAAAGGCGTAATTCCTTAATTGTTCCCCGGGCGACGAGCTTATAAACAATCTCAACGTAAAATCTCGACCTCGCGAATATAACGGATTCCTCCGGACGGAAACGCGCGCGCGCGCGCTAATCGAGCCCGGTCGCCGTCAGGCGGAAAGAAAACAGTGCCGGTGGGAATGAAAAGGAGAAAAAGAAAAAAAGACACCGCGAAAACAAGGATGAGAGTGGCAGGAAGGAGGGAGGGGGAGGAGTCAACTCACCAGTAATGACGTCAGCCGTGGAAAGCGAACAGGATCCGAAATTTTCCGCAGCAGCGAGCCGGAGTCGATCCAACTGTCGCACAATTTACCGATCCGGCCTCGGCTGGGAACGACGACGACGATGATGATGCTGGCGTTGTTGTTGCTTCTGCTGTTGTCGATGCCGTGCATGTACGCACGCAGCAGCAATCACGCACACACGCGCGCCCGTACACATATGTACTCGTACGCGGCGCGGCCGTGTGTATATATATATATATGTATATATTTATATATATATATATATACACACCGCGGTTATAACCTCTATATATACCTATTTAGAAAATTCGATCGGCCGATCGATCCAGGTAACAACCGATAATCGCGCTTCGCGGCACGTTACTCCGCAGCATAATACACCTCGCGTCCCGCGCGGAGGAGACACTCGTTGCGGCGTTTCGCGTTGTTGTTGTTCCCTTCCTCTCCGCTTCCCCTCTACCTACCCAAGTGTCGCGAACACCGCGCACCACCTTTTCTTCTTCGCGCCCTCGCACTCGTTTCCTCACTCTCGCGCACGCTACCTCCTCGTGCGCGTTTTTGCTTTATTATTACTCTTCTCCACCTCCTCCTCTTCCTCCTCTTGTTCGTCACCTCGTCGTCGTCTTCCTCTTCTTCCACCGAACGCACAGCACCGCACACCGTCACACCCGTCCACGTGCACTATCGCGCGGCACCGCAGCACGCACACACGCGTAGACACTGGTAATAGCGGAACCGTCGAATTTCTCGTTTTTTCCTCCTCTTCTTCTTCCGCCTCCCCTTCTTTCTCGTACCGCTGTTCCTCCTCCTTCTCCACCTCGTTTGCGTGTCGCCGCTTCCGCTGCGATCTCTGCTGGCACGAGATCGAAGGAGAAAGATCGGATTAATGCACCGTGCTGGACGAGGGAAATTACGCGAAAACCATCGAGAGAGACTCGCTGCCGCAAGAAGCACGAAAACCGGGAAGAGAAACGCGCACCTGTCCAAACGCGATCCGCGACGCGGCCGAGTTCGAATCATGCGATATCATTCTCAAATCCTGTCACAAAGTCCGGAAAAAATGTCTCGAAAACGATGAACTTTTCGCGAAAAATATCTAAGAAGCAAAGTTGTGGGGCTAAAAAAAATCTACCTAATGATAATCAGAGTTTGACTTTGGGTGGAGTCTGCAAGCTGAGGGTCAAGTTAATTTTTTCAAATGGAACCTCCCATATTTTATAGCATATTCCTGTATCCTTATTTCAAGAGCTTTCCGAAACACTATGATAAAGTATCTTTTCTTTAAATATATCTCGAGTTACGAGGCTCGAAATTTTCTGTACAACGCGTTGAGGTTGCACGGTCAGATTTGTATCTCTTTTGTGTGAGTATGTGTGTGTCGCAACACACACCCATTGCATTTTCAAGTCATGATATCGATCTACCGTCTATTTCTCGTTGTTAAATATCGTCGTGCCGATGGTTGCTTATGCGTTGATCGTGAGATCGTGGACAATTCACGCGATTACAAACTTATTTATTGTGTCTATTTCTGTCCTGAGTTGCATTTTTGAGATGAGTACGCAAATTTAGATCCTCGCCACGGGCGCCAAACAATTCTAATTACGATTCCGCGACGAGACGGGATGGGAAGGGGCGAGGGGGAGGAGGGCACCGGCTTCCTAGGTTAGTATACCTAACCTCGAGTTACGCAACTCGAGTATTTCGAACCGTCGCGTCGCACAGTAGGTCGAAACTTAAGAAATAACGGACATGGACTAAAAAATGGAATTTTCGAAATGTCTACTTTTGTTCGTAAATCTCTGATGATAAATTAGCTGTAGATCAATGAAATGACGTCATTCATTCTGAATATATCTGTCATTTCCGTACAAATGTACCGTACGATGTAAGTGATATTAATGATCGAATGCATGTTTTTCTTACGTTATTGTTCACTCTTTAAATAAAATATACAAATTTTCCGAGCGACTTGCAATTTCCATATAGTACATCCTACACAGGTAAAACATATACTTAGCAAGTGTCAGCTATCAAGTCTCGAAATGATTATTTAAAAGCTTTCTGGAATTATAAAATGATCCAATTAGCATGGAAATATCATGAAAATATATTTTCACTAAAACAGTATATGAATCATTGTACGTTGCGTGTGAAAGAAGTCTGCTGTGTCCACAATTTGCTAACGTTTCGATCCACTGATGAGCGTTCGTCCGCGTGTCGCGCGCGTTGTTTAATCGAAAGACCGTTGCACCAGCGATCGTTATGCGTGTATACACATATACGTACGTGTCATTAAAAATAAGACAAACACGCGTGACACGTGGCCCGTGAGAATCGAGTGGCGCGAGCACGCGTATACACACACGAGTGCTATTAATATCGAGGTGTGCGCCAATATGCGTATATTTCAAGAAGAGATATACGTTCGCTCCCTTCTGTTCGTGATCGCATGAACACGGCGGTCTTTCGGCATTGGGATTAACCAACCGTCTAAATTTCAGACACTCAAGCCGCGCGAACGAGCTCAGAATTCTTCCCGAGAGAAGATCGTGCAATATACAGGGCGATTCAAAACAAAACATTTGTCGCTAAAACTACATAATCCCGACTAAATTCTGAGACAATTTTTTATGTAGCAAAATTTCGCCCGAAACTTGTTTTTTAAGTTATTGACAGGGAGAGTCAGCTTGTCGCGAATCGAGTACAGGAAACGGGCAGCGCAACTCATTGTCAGAGCGCGAACGCTTACGTGTGGTGCCCGCTGCGATCAGCTGATCGTTACGTACGAACTGCGCAACCAATCTATTCCCTCAATTCGTGATAAGCTAATTATTCCGGTTAATAATTTTAAAAATAAGTTTCGGGCAAAATCGGTACAACATAAAAAGTTGTCTCAGAATTTACTTGGAATTATGTAATTTTAACGATAAAAGGTTATGTTTGAATCACACACAAAAGTTAGGGGAAAAATATTTCCCGTGCTATAGAGAATAATTATATTCGATTTATCGCGCCTATCTTTATCTAAATGAGTTCGCGAGGCGAGAACGCAAATTTAGATTCTGGTCATGAGCACAAACAACTCTAATTACAATTCCACGGGAAGCGGAGTGCGCGGAATCCAGTAAACTCTACTCTGCATAAGTCGAATTACCGAATTTCTCTTGCGACGTCTACGCGCGTACATCTATTAATGTGCGTATATGCGCGCGCACGTGTGTGTATGTTAATATACATGTATCATTTCCGACTATTTGTTAAATAATTATATCTTATATAGCTGGTCGTCCGACCATCCCCGAAACTCCGTATTGAAACATCAAAGACTTTCTCCTTTTTTTTCTTCCTTTCTTTCTCTCTCTCTCTCATCACCCCGCTTCGTAAAGTGAGAGACACTCTCTCCGATGAGAAAGAAGACCTGACTGGAACCCTATCGGCGACGATTAGTCCGCGCTCGGCTCGACTTCCGGTTCAACTGTTCGTACAAAGGTTCGCGTATTTGTCGACCACACGCACGCGACTCCGCGCGTTTCGTGTCCCACCTTCCCGCGCCTCACCTCGCCACTTCTCGACGTTTATTACCCGTTTCGCTCTACCGTCCCCCCGCTCTCGGTATCTCTCCCTCCCTCTCACTCTCTCCTTCCCGCCCCTTCCACTCTTTTCCCCCTCTCTGTCCCTCTCTTTCCCACCTTCGCGTCTCGTTCCGCGCGACCCGCTAGCGCGCTCAAGGTAGGCGCACCTCACGCGGCGCTGCTCGCCCGAGAATTTCCTCATTGACCCGCGCCTCTTGCGCTCCGTATTCCACCTGCGACTCGTCATCGCCGTTATTAATATCGGCGCCACCATACCGTCCCCGTTGCTACGGACCGCTCGTTATCGTTCCCACGATGGGACCGCGAACAAACATCGAGCGCTACCGAAGTTACCCTGCCGCCGTTTTCATTGTTGGCCTTCGATCATGGCGCTTCGTTCTCTTTCTTCATCGCGAAGATGAAGGGACGAGGCGCGAGCGAACCGCAAAACGGTCGCTACGAGGGCAGAATCGCTCATAAGGTGTCATCGAGAAGCAGTATTAGTACATTAAGAAAATAATTCTTAAATAAAAAAAATATATTTCTTAAAAAAAATATATGTATATTCGTTAAATATATTTTTTTAATTTAGATAAATATTTGTTAGATTTGAGAAAAAATTCATAAATGTAAAGTAGCAGTTTTTTTTTTAATTTATAAAATGATTCGTAAAATCATGTGTTTCTAGATAAAAAAATAGAATTCCTTTGATTTCAAATATCGTTATACCAGAGAAAGCAAATAATTTCTTTACAAGAAAATGGGATTTTAAATGTAAAAACTGCGTTTAAATAAATACTTGATTTAAAATTAAGTAAAATACAAATCAAATTTGTAAGTCTAAATGAAGCATTTTCTTATGTTAAAAGAATCTTCTCTTGTTTTAAATAAAAAGTCTCCTTTATTATCGGAAAGAATAAATATTTTTTATACTGTAGTAGTTGTGTGTAGTAGTAGTAATTGGCCGACAAAGATGGCGATTCGAATAAACAACGAGTAAACGCACGATTGTGGTTAATGAATCATCGTGAAACGGTGAGGATGAATTGCGCACTTGTATATTACATGTTTGCTTTTGCGAGAGAGAGGGAGAGAGAGTGAGAGGGGGGGACGAGGGTGAGGGAGAAAAGAGGACAAAGAGCGAGGAAGGATGGGAAGAAAATTCAAGCGACGTCCTGTAGGGAAATCGCGACGATTCTCACACGGTTACCGACAAAAATCCAGCCGAGGAAGAAAACACTCGAAGTGTCCTGCTACACTAACGCGAAAGCGAGGGAACAAGACGAAGAAAGCGCGTACGCATATGCACGTTAATTCGACCCCGGCGAGATATCAGAGAGTGACGACGACCCTCGCGCTTTCCACCCTCCTTTTTGCCCGTTTCCGCGGATGTGTTTTTCCTCAATAACCCGAGATGTGCCTCCTCACCGTCGCCGCCTGCTCGTGCGCTCCTTCCCGTCCGAACTCGTCGAGTGGCGACCTCGGCGCCCGAGAATCCTCGTACTCCGTGCCTGCCGGAAGACGTTTCGCCGACACTCGGCGGTGTCGAGGACGACGATCAGCAAGACCGACGGCTGCGACCGATGACACTCCACCTGCCGAACAAAATATGTCCCTCGTTAGAAAGGAAAAAAAAAGAAAGAGAACGAAAACGACGTCGTGAGATTGAGTAACTATCGCAGGACGCACGCACGCGAGTCTCGATTCGATCCTTGAGGAAACTTGTTCGTCGTTATTAGTCGACATCAAGTGACCGTTTTGACGTTAGATAGTTGAATTTTCCCCGAGGTGGAAATTGTAACAATCTGTCCGGAATTCGGATTAACGGACGAGCGCGCGCGTGCAAAACGGGACTCAAGCGGGATTTACAATGAGAACTTAAGGCTTGCGCCTTACGTGTGATGTCTGTTGATGAGTTTTTCTCAAAGCAAGTCGAGATCAGCACTTGACAAGTCTCGTGCAACATGGTTCGTAGTGGACGAACGACGTGGACGCTGGGGATAAAGGGGATAAGAGGGGGAAATATCTTACATATACGCTACAGAGAAACAAACGACCTCTCGATAACCATCATTGATCGCGTATTGTTGAAAGTTTTCGTGAAAACTAACCACGTCATTAGTTCGCTGCAAGCTGAGTCATTGTATGATACAATAGGTAGATTGTACTCGCGCTAATGTACACTTGGCCATTCACCTTGAGAATATTTCTTTTAAGGTCGCCCTCGCATCCCTAAACCTGTCACCTCTGTCACCGAACGACGCGGCGTTCGCGTTTCCTCGTGACACCCGCCGCGCTGACACATTCCAGGTAACGTGAAACGCGGCAACGCACGCGAAGAATTCGAATTTTTACACTCGTTATCGTCTCCCTTTCTCTTCCCTGCTTCCCCCTCTTCCCGGCCGAGGTCCGACCGATATCGAAAGATTAGAGTACTAACAGATATCGAAGGAGTGAAATAGGATAGGATCTCGATAAGATCAATCACGTCATACGCGCGTTTCGCATCAGCTGTTCATCTAAATGAGGCAAAACGAAGATATAAAGCGATGCGCATCTCCACAGATATCGAGGCCGGGCTCGTATGTATACGTGTGTGTACATATATCGCCAGCGACTATTCATCTAGTTGCAATCCAAGATAAAGTCGTTCGCCGAGAGGAGTTTCGGTATCGATACATAGACGATATCGAACGTGTATTTCATGCTTATATGTACGTATGTATGTATGTGTATATATATATAAGTAACATATTTGTAAGTATAATGTGTGTGTGTGTGTGTGTGTATGCATGAGTGGACGCGGTTGTGCGTCGCTACACACGCTCCTCTTCGAGGCTGCTTTGTAATGACGCGGCCGGATTGGAGAACATCTTATTGGCCGGCTAACGTAAACACGCGTATGAGCACACCCCTTGTCTCCTTACATCATGGAGTCCAGATATCTCTTCCGATCCGTGCCCCCGCAGCCACCGTGCCCACTCTTACCCTCACCTTTAGCTTCGCCCATTCACTGTTGCTGCTGCGTCTCGCGTCTCCTCTCCCCTACCTCTCGTCCGTGAGCTCTCCGCGCCTCTCTCTCTCTCTCTATCCCACCCTCCCTCCCTGTCGTCGTCATCGTCCTCCTCCCCCTCCTCCTCCACCCGTTCTCGAGAGCCTAGCGAGTACACTCCACGTCGCCGCGGCACATTTCTCCTCCCTGGTTGCTGCACAAACAACACCGCGCGCACGCATGCGAGGTTCCACTTCTCGTCTTGGCTGCACCACCAAGCTCATTCCCCCTCGACGAAGAGCGTGGAAGAGCGGTTACCAGTGCCCGCTTAACCCTTAACCCTTCGTCGCGCGGTCCGAATCACGTCCCTTTCCCTCCGAGCGAGCGAGCGCGCGCGAACTCTCGCCCGTAAAATTCGCGCGCGTGCGATATTTTAACGGCCGACTGACGCGAAAATGCGCGATACATTTATATCAGATATTATGACACGGCGAGCAAGGCTCTCTTGAAATCAGCTTCGAGCGAGACGTCGAGTCATTCTCGACGGTTCGACGACTCCTCGTGCAACGGGGACAGCACCTGGCCGCGTGAGAAAATTCCGGGCGAATCGCCCCCGTGGGATTGTCAGGGCAAATTGAGTTCTCGCCATGCGGAGTGTACATTCGCGCGCGTGTACTTCTGCACGATAATCGCACGCGAGTCCAGAAGTAAATGCGCGCAAATCACCCGCCAGCAGGTTCGACCGTTCCGATCGTGAACATTCCGCTGCTACACCCTTGACAAAAGCCTTGACTTTTCGGCAAAGACGCGAGACGAAGGCGCGCCGGCGAATTTCGTAAGCGAAAGCAGCGTTCGCTCGCTCGATCGCCTCCGCTCGGCGAGATATCTCGCAACACTCTCGCATCTATCTCTCGCCCCGGTACTTTCGCCCGGCTAGCTGGCTGCCTCTGGCTGGTTATGTACTCCTCTTTTTCCGACCGTATCGATTGTCGCGCGCGCGCACGGACAACGTGGCGGCGAAAGTAGACGATTTCATATCAACGGCTCGCACGAGCTCTGCTAAACGTAACGCGTCCGTCCGTCAGCGCGTTTGCCCGTTGTGAATTTTCCCTTATTTTGTTACGTTCACACAGAGTGAAAAACGTAGATCAAGTAGGCGCCTTCACGCGAGCCGTGGTCCACGAATTCTAACATCTTCACGCCCCCTCTTCGTGTATGAACCCGGCCTAATCGTCTTGCGTTAGATGAATCACGCCTTCGCGAGCGCGTTAGCGAAATCCATGCTGTGTCGGTTCGCACACGCCGCTACACGCGTGAACTTATTTGTTCACTCGCACGCGTCCTCCGCTTTGTCGGCACTTTCGGCGGGAATTGCAGAAGAGAGATTCATACGGGAAGCAGCCTTTCGACGCGAACTGAGCTTGTATTAAACGCGTCAAGTGCCGCGCTAATTTCCACTGATCGTACAAACTTAATAACCAATTAAATCACTCTAAAGCTGCAATAAATAAATATAATTCAGGGTGTACCTCTTACTTCTTATCTTGCTTTGGTGGCTGTTTATTGGTCGTACGGGGCATTTTATAGAATCAATTAATTATATGTAACTTAACAAAACGAAGTAATATCATATTGCAGCTTACAAGTGCCCCTCCGTCGGCATTCAACGTGTTGATTAACCACCGATGATACGTGCAATGTATCGCTGCATCATCGTTCATATTTTATTTGCAACGTTTATAATAATGCTAAATGAAATTGAGGGGAAAAACGGCGAGTGATACATCGCGAGTCTCGGCGCTGTCGACGGCCGTAAATACCAGAAACTAGTCACATATCGGCAGGAAAAGTTGCGGATTATTGCGCAATATTGCATCCTACGAGCGCAGAGTGGCGTCGAGGCGACTGGCATCGGGAATCCGAATGAATTATTTCTCGGATCGTAAATGCGCGTACAATCGCGACGCGTAGTAGACGCGCGCCGATCAAACAGATCTTACTTGCTCCCGCGTGTTCGAATGCGCGCGCATACTCGGTCGTGTTTGATATTTTTAGAACCGTTGCGTCGTATAAAACCGACGGCCGCGAGGAGAAAGTTCAGAAACGTCATGTCAAAGGATATTTTTGGATCGTTACGGCGGAGCGTACATCACGCGCGTTTACGCTGCGCTCGAGAACCACGACGATGACCACGAGGACGACGAAGGAACTACGTCGTCGCCGGTCGAACTGATCAATTTTCCCAGGCGTTGCTTGCTCTCGCTCGTTTAACGGCCCCGGGGAAAGCAACAGTAGGAAGAATTAAAGAGACGTATCTTTCGTAGGGAGGAGCGAGCGGGGGAAAAAGCGGGACGTCGCTCCGCGCTACTTTAAACCCGGAACGGACGATTTTTGCCGCGCGCGCGAGATACCCCTCGCCGTTATCGATTAAAACGCCCCACCTGCTGGAGGTTATAAAAACCGAAAGGGCCGCTCGCTCGGAGGCGTACTTTACCTCCGCATACTGTACGTATGTGTGTGTGTGTAACTCGAACCTCGTAAATCAGCGTCCGCGTCGGTCGGTCGGTCGGTTGGTTGGTGACCTCGCGCGACGGCTCCGACCAACAGCAATTATTCATTCCCGCGAGCTTCCGAATCTTGTTATGTCTCGGATATGACAGCGATATTCTACCTCGCGATTCCAAATTTCCCCGGCCAGACTGATATTCAATTTTAACCGCTTAAATCTGACATCTCGCAATTACATAGAATCTCCTGTTTGTTTTATCGGCCGCTGCGCCCGAACATTTTTAGCTTTTCGCACGCAAAGAGGACTCGTCGGCTTGCAAGATGAAAATAAAGAGCGAGAGGAAAGTAAGCGATATGATCCTCGTGTACAATGTAACGTGATTAACATTAACGTACGTTTTGATAGTAAAATCAATGTGCGGCGCATTAAATATGCACCGGCTCTGTCGAGACATTGAACGTGCAGATATATAGTCTCCTTAGTCACGGGAATTAGAATCCGCTCGTCCGCCGTATTTTCTCGCGAAGAACTTGCCCTTTCCGTTATACCTCCGCCTTTCTCATCGTTTACTTTTCCAAACGTGACGTTGAATTTCCTTACTCGGCGGCTTTGACAGCCGCTCGACGACACTGCGTCGATCGAGATATCGGCCGAGCGATCTGTCACTCGAGACTTATCCGAACATGGATAACGCGCGCGAGAGAGAGAGCAATCGACTCTTCCGAAATGTTCGAATATAATTTCCCATGTGAGAGGACAAAGTTCACCTGCGGGAAAGAAAATGTTTACGGAGCGTACATTCCACTTATTTTTCACGCGAAATCAATACCTCTTCGCTGTGGTGGAAGCAGCGAAACGGGTCACTCTGTACCACGGCATGTCGTTCTGGCGACCACGCACGCAATGTTCGTCGGCCCGCCGACGCGCCAAGTCAAAATAAACGATGTACTTTTCTCTCTTTCCAGTACACGCCGCCACCAGCTCCCCGAGAGCAGCAGAGCCGTTGATGCAACGTTCCGCCGTGATTCTCCGCTTCTTTGACTCTTGAGCAGACGTCGAAATTTAGAGCATTTTTATGTAGCGTTGTTGCGTGC